TTCCAATCCCTAACGTTCTGTGATTCTGGGAAAATATTCAGTTCAGTAGGGAAGTACAAATCCTTTCCCACTGAGTGACTGGATTTTTGGCATGAATTTTAAAAAGCAAGACTGGCACAGTGTTTGCTCCCTCCCTCCATACAATAGGGTGCAAGGGAGGATGCCAGATGCATGGGATCTGTGGCCTAGGCTAATAGCAGGGGTATCTTTTTACCTCAAAGGAAGAATTTTGTCTCTTAATTGTTTTCCAGGCCTATTTTTGATAGTTTTTGCACCTCACTTACCCATAATGCTGTTAGGGGCATAAATTGAAAGTTAATGTCTTTTAAGGTATCTTTCTCTACAAGTCTGTAAAATATTTTCTCATAGTAAACAAGTTTTAAAATTTTTCTAGGACATCAGAAACAAATCGACCCTGAAACATTCAGAGATTTCTACAACTACTGGAAAGAAACTGAAGCAGAAGCTCAAGAGGTGAATCTACCACCAACAGTAATAGAGCATCTAGATAAAAATGAATGTGTCTACAAGTTATCCTGCTCAGTTAAAACTAACTACGGTGTAGGAAAAATAGCTCTGACCCAAAAGCGCTTGTTCCTGTTGACTGAAGGAGGACGTCCTGGCTATGTCCAGATTGCTGCTTTCAGGGATATAGAGGTGAGCCTCAAGTAACTTCTTGTTTTCTTGCATGCTTCTGGATATAAGACGGGTTCCATTCTGCTAAGAGAGCTGTCTCTCAACTTAAAATTTCTGTAAGGAGTGTGGAAACATCTCTGATGTCAGTAGTGAGTGACTGGGTAACCAGTTCTTTGGACTATGAATTTCAGGGCTAATTTAGTGCAGTTTGCTTGGTGCTAAGATGACACAGAATACAAATCTAGAAGTCATAACCTCTAGCAGTACAGAAAGGTGCAAAGCACTGCACATGGGATATAGAGCTAGAGGAGTTTAATAATACAAGCATTAAATGTGCTTATTTGGCTGGGGTGTCAGGAAACCAGCTTGTACCCACTGTGCAGCAAAGCCTGTATGATATTTGAAGCTTATATTTTCATAAAACCATCTCTGCGTAACGATGTGTATGGATAATCGAAATCTTTGGCTATAGTTACAGAGAAAGTTGCCCTGTGGGATGCATTCTGCGCCTTATCTGGGATTGCGTGCTGTATGTTCCTTATTTTGTTTGTTTTCCTGCATTTCCAGGATGTCAAGAGCACAACTGTAGCTTTCCTTCTTTTGAGAATACCTACTCTGAGGATTAAAACATCATCTAAAAAAGAAGTCTTTGAAGCTAACCTTAAAACTGAGTGTGATCTCTGGTACCTGATAGTGAAAGAAATGTGGGCTGGAAAGAAAATGGCAGATGATCACAAGGTATAAATACGGGAATCTCTAACCAAATAAGTATGAAGTCTGTGCTTTCTGTCTCTGTTCTAAATAATTCATGCATCAATCTTAAAATTTCTAGGTTTTAACAAAAAAAATAACATAAAAAAATTAACTTCTAAATAGAATACTTCCAGAATAATATAAAAAAGAAAGAAAGAGAGATTACATTTAAAAATGTAGACTATTTTTTTCTCATCTGCTGGCATGGAAATTTTAATCATGGCACCAGTGCCATTCACATGGTTCCCTTTGCACATCCTGTATCAAGATTGTGCCAGACCTGAATTCTTATTTCAGTGTAATGAATTAACACTGGCTCCTGGCTCCCTGCCCCATGACCTTGCTTGGGAGTGGAAGATGCAATGTGGGAGCAGGGTTTGACTGCAAATAATCTGAATTATGGTGCAGGGCAGCAGCTAGCGCTTGTGCTAAGCATGACATCCCTTGTGATCGTTGAACGTGGAGACTTGTAAGAACTATGAGCAATAAATAACTACATTAAGTCTTTTCTCTTTAGGATCCTCAGTATATCCAGCAAGCACTGACAAATGTTCTCCTGATGGATGCTGTGGTTGGTGCCCTGCAGTCCTCCAAAACCATATATGCAGCCTCCAAACTGTCTTATTTTGACAGGATGAAGAATGAAGGTCAGTCACATAGCAGTGCTGCAAAGCCTGCTGGTATTGCATCATCTGTCTCAGCTCTTTCTATTTATATTCCAGTTTTCAAACTGATTAGCTGTAGAATTATAAAAAGACGTTAGTCTGATTGCACTTTCACAGATGTAATTTATTAAATAGTATTAATAGAAAGCTTAGTTTGTTTTTTTTTATTTTTAATTCTGTGCATCAGGACCTCTGTTGGTATATCTGTCTCTGTGTTGGATGCTGTGGTTTTGTTTTGCTTGTTGTATGGATGCTTTCTGCTACCAGAACTCATACAAATGGTGTTTGGGCTCTCTTAGCTAAGGCTAGAGGGAAAGAAAAGTGAGAAATGTGGTGAAACTCGGCAGAATTCTTATTTCATAAGAATATGAAAAAATATGAAATAAGAATTATAGACCTATTTCAGGCTTAAGCATGCACTTCATGACGTTTTAAAAATCTATTTTAGTGCCTATGATGGTCCCCAAAACAACTTCAGAGACATTAAAGCACAAGATCAACCCCTCAGCTGGTGAGACATTTCCACAGGCAATAGATGTCTTGCTGTATACGCCAGGTAAGGTGATTTATTGCTTGCTTTATGTTAGCCCAGCTTTAATTAGCCTATAAAGCATGTTATCTCTTAACACCTGGTATTGTGACTGCCTGGTTTTGTTCACATCCTGACGTGCTTTGGTTGTCTGTTGAATACTAAAACAGAAAATCATTTAAAAAGAACAGTAATATTGCATATTAAGATACTCCAAGGCATAGCTTTCACAATCTTAATTTGTCTTCCAGTGTGTATATGCCTTATAGTAGACTTCAATTACGTCTTAATGTGCCGATTTCCCATTACAACTGTGCCTCGTTTATTGAGCAGGGTGGGTGAATGATGCTCCACCATGTATCAGTATTTTTTTAAATCTCAGTAGAGTCAGGTGGGGGTGTTTGGTTGAACCATGTAATTGTGTGCCACCTCCTGAAGTCCCAGCCAGACCTAAATGCCCCTAATTCACTGTATAGAATGTGATCTAATGTACTATTCATTGCATGTCATTTAAATCCATCCTTGAAGAAAGTATTATCCATTTCCTTGTGCGCTGTTGTGTAATACTTGGCACTTTTATATCTGAGAAATTCAAAATGCACCGGGGGAAAAATAAAGTTAAGGACTGTGTGCAATGGGCCTGAATTTGGGTAGCAGATATGGTAAATCTGGAAGTTCCTAACTCTTAACTTCATAACCTTATTAGTCTTCTCATGTAAGCCCACATGTAATTCCTAATATTTGGGCAATTTGAGACAAAAAGAGAAAATTAGTGGACTTTCAAAGTTAAGGAAGTGGGCATACAGTTATATGTGGATGGGTGGGTGTGGTGGTGGGTTCAGTGATGCTTGTCTTTGTAGTTTGAGGCTTCTAAGTGGAGCTGTAATGGAGTGGATAAAATGAGTGGATTTATTAGCTGTATTTCATAGGGCTTAAAAGCCTTCCTGCAATCCCTGTTAGCTAAATACTTTGTCATCAATGAAAATTATTATCTCTGCTCTGAATAACTTAGTTGAAGATTAGACCATCAGGTGAGCTCGTGAAATAGATGAGAATGAGCACAAATTCATTGTGAAACAGCATCATTCATTAACTGGTGATGTAAACTCTAAAACCCAGACGTGTTTCATTAGGAAGCTGCTCTGTGTAATAATGATAGTTCCACACATCTCCAAAAGTGGTTTATTTTCTTTTAACCTCTCCCATCTTCTCCCCTTCATTTCTAGGGCATCTTGATCCTTCAGAAAGACTTGGCAATGCTCATCCGAAGCTATGGTGTGCTTTAAATGAGGGGAAAGTGGTGGTCTTTGACGCTTCTACCTGGTCTATTCAACAGCACTGCTTCAAAATGGGCCGCTCTAAACTGGTAAGACACACACACATCACAGTTTCAGTTTTAGCTTGGTGAGGTTTTTTTGCTATAGCCTGTATGACCCCAGACCCCTGGATATCTTCAAGGAACTCTGTAGTATTTTTCCTTAAAAGTTATAGAAATAAAGACATTTGAGTTGTTTGGGCTTCTGTTAACTTGGAGAAATGGAGATTTTTGAGAAAACTGGAAAGGAGAGAAAATGGGTTCATAACAAAACAAGTCAACTGGTGGGAAGTGATGGATTGGATATCAGGAGGGCCTTCTGGCCTAACAGCATGGCTTCTTGGGGCATAAGTGAGTTTGAAAGAGTTGAGGAGAAAGAATAATGGAGAAAATCAATATAAAGAGAAGATGAGAAGAGCCCTAAGAATGGATGAAAGTTCACCTCTGCTGAAGAACTGGAAACTGGGGAAAGGGGTAAGGAAAACAGGTAGATGACACTGAAAAAGAGAGAGTTCTCTAAAAGAAGATGGCTCAACCAGCAGGTTGAAGAGAGCTGCTGCTGAAAGACCACTTGAAAAGCATAACTCACTCGAAAAAGGGGAAGCTGAACCTGAGCTTCAGACTGAGTGAAAGACACGCAGTGGAGAGAACACACAGGAAAAGGGATTGGAGAGGTCACTTGTGTGAAAGCCAAGAAACATCACTGTGGATGAGTGTGGGAGAGAGTCAAAAAGGGAAGGGTATAGCTGATAACAGAACCACAGAATCATTAAGGTTGGAAGAGACCTCTAAGATCATCAAGTTCAACCATCAACCCAACCCCACCATGGCCACTAAACCATGTCCTGAAGTGCCACATCCACACACTTCTTGGACACCTCCAGGGATGGGGACTCCACCACCTCCCTGGGCAGCCCCTTCCAGTGCTTGACCACTCTTTCAGTAAAGAAATTTTTCCTAATATCCAATCTAAATCTCCCCTGGCAGCCTTTTTTCACGTTACATTAAAAAGTGATTTTTCTTCCAGGTTTTATTTAATCGTGCTTTTCCTCCCCAGACTTGTATGATCATGGTAGAACAGAGTCAAGTGTGGATCGGTTCTCAAGACTCCATTATTTATATCATCAATACCCACAGTATGTCTTGTAACAAGCAACTGAACGATCATCGTTCTGATGTTACGGACATCATTGTGGAGAAGAAGAATGGAATACCCAGGTATATTTAATCACAATGTTTTCTTCTTAAAAATACATATACAAGCAAATGTGAAGGACATCTGTACCACCAGAAGAGTCATGGATGTGTGGAGAATCTTCCAGTGGTTAAATATAAAGGCATTGCATGTAGCTAGAACAGTATGCACTAGCCTAGAGAATTTGGCCTGCGGGGAGCAGATGACTACTTATAGATCTAAATGATATAGTAGTGTGCTTGAATTATTTGCCTGAAACAAAGGTGAAAAGTTAACTTTTGCTGAAGGAAAAGGAGCCCATATGAGAGACCTGTGATTGATTTTCCTAGATATTGGAAATTGTTTTAAACAGGAGGGGCTTATCCTGCTGACATAAGCCTTCATTTAGCCCGTTTTTGTAGCTCCCATATTGTATATGGTAAACTAAAAACATAGTTTTGAAAGAAAGAGCATTATATACCTTGGAACAAAGAAGATAAAGGAATGCTTTTTTGGAGAAGGATGAGAGCAGCCGGGAATTGGCAGCATCCAGCGATGAATCAGTACAGATGCACTTTAAAGACCACTTCATTTTTGCTTTGAGCACATCATCAGCTAGATGTTTGCAGCATGCTTCTGGGTTTTTCCTGCCTGTTGGTAAAAGGAATAATGTATTTATTGTTTTGTTCAGGCAAAATGCTTTTGATCTTTTGGTAGTAGGCGACTTAAGCAGCTTGAAAGGTGGATGCCTGGCTGCAACCCAGAGCTGTTGGCTGCTTAAACTTAAGACTCCGGTCACCTTATTTAAAAGAATTGAACCAGTCTAATTGTTCACTGTTAAAATAATTACAATATCTGGCCATGAAGCCTTTTGGACTTCAGTCCATTTTCTCTTGGAAATTTTTACTGTGCTTTACTCTTCAGTCTCTGAAATGAAGAACATTAATTTGGGCTTACTGTAAAATTGGTTATTTTGCAAGTAAATATTTTCTGTGTATGCATTCTGTTCTGAACATGAATGTACATTATACTATTATTATTTATTTAATCTGTACCAACAGCGAAGCGTACTCAAGCAGTTTGGATGGAACAGTGATTGCTTGGAACATCAGCACTCTGAAAGTGAACCGGGTCTTCCAGCTGCCCTGCCAAAATCTCACTTCCATCAAGCTTCATAATGACCAGCTGTGGTGCTGTAAGTTTGTTCCTCAATTAATTAAAAAACCCCCAAACATCTTCATACAATACACTTCTATTAGGCAGAACAATACTTTAATCTCAAACTCAGACTTGTGTGTACACAGTGTTCTTCCCCCATCCTCCACTTAGTCTGTTTAAGCAGCCTTCTGTAGGTAAGGCCTCCAGAACACATAGATGGGCATCTTGAATCACCCCTGCTGCAGGATGTGACTTCTGACTACATTTTATTTGTCTGACCTCCCTTGCCTGCAAATTTGAATGGAAAGCTTTGAGGAAGTCCTTTTAAAGTCTGGACTTTACAATATTGGTCTGACTTGGTTTTGCGGAAGCGCACCAACTTGGTAATCCCCAGACCTGCATTTTGGTCACTTGCAGAAATGTCATCCCCTCTGTAAGAGTTTAGGTAAATAAAGTAAAGCTTTGTGCTAGCGTAAAAGATCTTCTTGAAGTTGTTTCACAAATGGTGACTGTTTCAAGAATTTTGCACTGATTCTCAGTGCCCCCATACACAAGAACCTGGTTCCAAACATATCTCAACAAAACAGCAGCTAAAGCCTTGGGAAATTCCTGCTCCTGCTGTGGGCAGTAGCGATGCTGCCATTGCTGGGGTGGGTAAGAATTCAGCTCTGTTAAATTTGTAGCACAGACACTTGGATTCAGTTCTGCAGATGAAAATAAATGTGTACTTCAGAACCTAAGTATGAGAGATCCTCGTTTTAAGGAGTTTGTTTCCTCTCCTCTCATCATTTTTGAACTCTAAACTAAGAGGTGTATGCACTGCAGAGTGGCAACTAGTGTTTGGAGAAAGAACAGATCTAAAATATAGACACTGTGGAAAAACAGGGAGGAGTATCTCAAAGATTTCATTGTTGACTGAGAAACAAGACAGTTGTTGGATGCATTCATTTTATTTTGCCTGTTTTATACATGGTTTGTAGAGATGGAGGAAGTGGGCACTTCTGTTACTAACCCTTTAGCTTTAATATCGAAGGTACTGGAAGTTGCATACTTGTGGTGTCAACGCGTGAATTTCGACTACAGATGAAAATTGAGCACCACCTGAAGGATGTGTGTTCCCATTTCCTCTGCTTCCAACTCTTTCCTGAGGTATTACATTTGAACTATTAATAGAGTTTAAACGAAGCACGACTATGGCATTTCAAGCCATAGTTACTTATTGCAATATACCTCCTGTCAGCAGTGCTAACGTCAAGTGTATTTTTTCTGTGCTTTAGAGAGATGAAATGTGGGCATCTTACTCCGGGAGTAGCGACTTGTACATTTGGAACACCAAGGACTTTACAAGTACACCCCAAAAGATTCATCTTCAAGATTGCTCTGAGATCACTTGTATGATAAGAGTTAAAAATCAGGTGAGAGACACTTGCACAGTTTTTACCTGTTGTGGAATTCTTTACTAAAGTTTTGTTTGTTTACAGCTCTCATGGGCTGTCCTTGGTTAGCTTCCTTACTGGGTGTTTCCCTACTTACTGATTTGAAACGTTGATTCCTCTTTGAAATGAGATGCTAATGACTGCCCAATGGTTGTTGTTTAGGTGGTTGTTCTGTCACCCAGTGACTCCTGCCCACCAGGGGAGGGGAGCTGGGAAAAAGAAAGGAGACCTGTGGCTTGAAATAGAAACAGATTTAATAAAATAATTATAAAACCCACTTCTAATAGCATTATTAATATGAAGTACACAGAGTTCTACTCAGCCAATAGAGTGGTTACAATCTTCCCCATGATCCTGACCAGTTATTTATTCAGCCAAGCATGCAATCTAAGCATCCCCAATACTGCTGCACTTCTGTTGCCTAGTTCAGAATCACAGAATCACATTAGGAGTTGGAAGGGACCTCAAAAGCT